GCGCTGGCCACCGCCACCAGACCGAGAATGAGGACGCCCTAAACAACAGAAAAAAGGTTATGTTCTCAAATAAACAAGAAAAAAGTTGCACTTTTCCCAAAAAAAAAGAGTAAACTCGAGCACATGCCTTGATCATGATGATGATTGGTAGGAAAAGAGTAGTTGCGATACGAATGGTCAACAAACAGCAAACAACGAGTGAGCCCGTCAACTGGCGCGGGGTGCTCTTTTTATTTAGGATCGATTGCTCTCACTGAAAATAGTGTNCAAAAAAAGTTATGTTCTCAAATAAGCAAAAAAAGTTGCACTTTTTAAAAAGTTACTCTAACATGCCTTGATCATGATGATGATTGAGAAAAGGAGTGGTTGCGATACGAATGGTCAACAAAAACAGCAAACAACGAGTGAGCCCGTCAACTGGAGCGGGGTGCTCTTTTTATTTAGGATCGATTGCTCTCACTGAAAACAGTGTTTCTTAAGTTGCTGGACCATCACTTTGCTGGCGGCCACTGTCACTTTTGTGTGTGTGTGTGTTTGTGTGCTAACAAAGGTGGACGATGCTGTTTGTGGTGGTGGTCGTTGTTTGTGAGGCTTAGAGGAGAAAGAGAAAAAAGGCAAAAATTTGCACATATTAAAATTAGCANGTAGTGGTGGTCGTTGTTTGTGAGGCTTAGAGGAGAAAGAGAAAGAAGAAGGCAAAAATTTGCACATATTAAAATTAGCAACTTGCAGTTTTGCCCCCCCCCACACACAGTGGAGCATCTTTCCTCTTTCTTTCTTTAGCGTCCCACCTACTGCTGCTACTCCTAATCATAATCATAATCATCATCAACTGCTGATGATGATGAGCATATTATTATATTTATTTGCTAAGTCCTTATCACTGACTTATCATCTGCTGCTGCTGCTCATCATGAACACTGTTGTAGTGGACACAGTAGCATAAGCATGATGACAATGAGAAGAAGAGCGCGCTCGCCTGAAGCTTTTGGAGCACTTTCTCTCGCTTTTTCACTTTTGCCATTGAACGCTGATGAGCAGACGGATTAGCTCAGCTCACTGGACAGCATTTTTTCCTCTTTTCTCACACTAGCATTTCACTTTTGAATTAGTAGTAGAAGTAAGCTGGGCAAACTAAAGCAAGGCGACAATAAGACTACATTTGTCAGAACAGGAGGAGGACAATCAATCTTCCTTCTATGGGGGGAAGAAGGATGATTTGAATTACTTATTAGTGAAATTGCAGTGAAATTGTGAAAATTGTCAAGAAGAAAAAGAAGATACTAGGGCAATTTGAAGAAGAAGAAGAAGAAGAAGAAAAAGAAGACCCAGAGGGTGTAGTCATCAGCTTGCAAATTTAGATAATGTTATCAGTTTACTAGTGATAGCTGTCTTTCTGAAAACAAAAGTGAGAGGGAAAAAGAAAAGGTAACTCAGATCGTTGATTTTGAAATAGTTGCCATTTTAATATTTATGATTAGTTTTGAAAAATTATGAAGAAAAAAAGTTGCTGATGCCGGGCACTGAAATGCTTAGAAAGTGAAAAGTGCGCACTGATTTTATTTTATTAAACAAAAAAACAGCAAAAAAGAGTAATAAAAACACCAAAATACAACCAAAGCTTCAAAAGGTTTACCTAGCCCCGCTTTTAATTAATTACATTTAAGTGCAAGTTTTGTTATCGGTGATTGATGCGACTAATTTGTTAAATTAAAAGCACAATCAGACATTTATCATCAGAAGCTAGAATATCATCACGCTTGCACGCGTGACCACCTGTTGATGAATTGCGCCGCCGCCGCCAGCTCTCTGCTAATAAAAAGGGTGTTTTCTAGCAATTTTTCTAAAACAAATTGATTGAATTCGTGAGGTACCCATTTCTTTTTTTCAAAAAAGCAATTAAAAGTAAAATTAGGAAAAACAAACAAACAAACAACCCAGCCAGTACATTCAGTGCACCATTATCACTTTTCTCCTGATTACTCAGTCTGACACATTCCTCTTTTTTCGTTTTTAGAGTCAAATACCCTTTCTGAATTTTCGCTGTTTTCTTTAACCCTTTAGTTTATTTACCTTTATAATTCAACTAATTGAAAGTGATTAATTGCACCTGACAGTAAATGGAAAAAGAAAGGATTTTCACTTATTATCGCCTTTGTAAGGAAAAGGGAGAAAGAAAGTAAACGAGAGTGTGCATGTTGAAATTAGATATGCCTTGCCTAGTAGGCTTAGCTTTCACCTTTTTTGCCTGCATAGCAATTTGTCAGTGCAAATCAGTGCACACACACACATTTCGGTAATTCTAATTCTAATTCTAACTAACTCGTGCAGCCATTGAACCTGAATCGAGTTTTTAGTATTGTGCCCCCTCCTCACAAACACGGATGCAGAAAGGAGAAAACATCGCTTTTTTTGCTGCCAAGGAAAGATGCTAAGCGGATGCATAGCTAATTGAGATGCACGCTGCTAAAAAGGATTGGTGCCTAAAGTGAAAAAAAGTTTGCCATTGAAATTGTGAAGTCTGAAGATCATCATCATCAGCAGCGTCGTCGCCGTCGTCGTCCTCTTCACCATCATCATCATCAGCATCATCATCATCAAGTAAACAACGGTAAAGATCTGCTGCCGATGGCTTCCTTATTTCAATAAAACACTAAAAAGAGAAACTCAAAGCAGAAAGAACGCTTTTTAAAGTGCTTGCACTACAACTATGAGTCTGTTTTAGTACAAACTTTGTTTCCTCAATTTGGTCAACAATGACCACCACCACATAACGGACGACTAATAGATAAACAATTGGTAATGGATCAGAGTGACTTGTCCTGTCCTTCTTTATAGTCCATTTTACCCTCAGTTTAAAATTAAAAAAATTAGTCATTTGCAGTTCAAAGACACCGAGATTGTAGTCTTTTTCTGCTTTCCTTTTTGTCTACCGCCAAACACAAATGGAATTAAACTAAAAGTCGCTGAAAGTCGATGAACGCTGTTCCATCGAGTCAATCACTCATTCACTCACTCACTCACTTACTTCTTAATGAAAGTTTAATTACCAATGAGAAAAGGTAATGGGCAAAATTCAAGTCAGAGCTAGCGTTCACTTTTCTTGTGTGCCTCTAAACTTTCTCTCTTTCTCTCTTTCTAACTTTCTCTCTTTCTCTCTTTCTCTCTCTCCCTCTCTTTCTCTCTTTCTCTCTCTCTCTCTCTCTCTCTCTCTCTCTCTTGTTCTTTCTCATCTGTCAATACCTGTTTGAGCGGGGCAATCAGTCAGTCTAATCAATTCATNCACTTCTTAATGAAAGTTTAATTACCAATGAGAAAAGGTAATGGGCAAAATTCAAGTCAGAGCTAGCGTTCACTTTTCTTGTGTGCCTCTAAACTTTCTCTCTTTCTCTCTCTCTCTCCCTCTCTTTCTTTCTCTTGTTCTTTCTCATCTGTCAATACCTGTTTGAGCGGGGCAATCAGTNGTCAGAGCTAGCGTTCACTTTTCTTGTGTGCCTCTAAACTTTCTCTCTTTCTCTCTCTCTCTCCCTCTCTTTCTTTCTCTTGTTCTTTCTCATCTGTCAATACCTGTTTGAGCGGGGCAATCAGTCAGTCTAATCAATTCATGAATTTAGAAATAAATCACCACTAGTTGTTCAGGTAGTCATCACGCACAGGGTAAGCTTCTTCTTATTCGCTTTCTCTTATTCAAGTTCAACTTTTTGCCATTTTACATAAGTCGAAGAAAAAAGAGGAGGAATATTTTACATTGCGGCCATTTATCAAATTCGCACAACTCTAAAGTGTTTTTTTATCGCATCGCCATAATTACAACTTGTCAACAATCAACTAATACATACCCTTTTTTTCTTTTTCAAAATGACCGTTGGTCATTGGCAACAAAAAGTATTATTATTACTAATGATTGTACCCTTATTTTTCATATTAAAACACTTAACACAAAACTTAGTATAATTTTGCATTTGTTTTAATTTACCTTTTTCAGCCATTGATTGGCACTATCAACATTTTCAGTTAGTTAGCTAATCAGAAATAAATGAACAATAGAAGCTGCCACAAATGAAGGAAGTAAAGGGTAAAAAGGGTAAGTGCCCTTTCTTTCCTTCCTTCTCTCTTACCTTCTAGTCATTTACCTGTTCAATCAAAGAGGTTATTGCATTGTTGTTGCATTGTCAGTGTCGGCAGTTTAGCAAAACAGGCAACAGTAATGCACAGACACGGGCACAAGCGATGCACACTGGAAAGTGTGATTTCTCTTTCACCTGCACTCTCCCGACACAGGTAACTTGTTTTGCCTGATGTCGGGATTGCCGTCCGTCCGTCCGATTACCTCTTCTCATACTGTTGTTACCGCACAAATCTGAATGGAGAAAAGAAAGCACATTCTTTTAATCACGAATATTGGCGGGCACCGGTTAGCNGCACCGGTTAGCCTTTCTCTCTCTCTCTCTTTCTCTCTCTCTCTCTCTCTCTCTTTACCGGCTTCGGTTTTTTTGCATATAAAAGAAGGGCGCAGTCGTGATGTTCACACTGATTATGTTTGTTGCTGTCACTGGGAGATACTCTCTGAAAAAAAATTGGCCACCACTACTGCAGCATAATCCTCGGCTACAAATACTGTTTGCTGTTTGTAATTCTACTCGCTCTTTTTTTCTGGTTATTAAAGTTTAAATAAACACATTTGATTGAAAAAATGAAACTACATTTTCCGTCGGCTATCATCTCTCATTTCTTAATTACCCTTTTGCACTTCAACCTTCAAACATGCCAGTCAACGGTGATTCGAACCTTTGACCATCAGCGAGCATCTTCGGCGGCGGTGAGAAGAAGCCTGCGAATGGGCCGCGCCTTCTCCGCACTTCCGCCCAAGTCGATGTGCACCTATCGCGGCTCGCGAAGTCACCGGGCGGGCGAGTTTTACCGCCTCCCAGAGACGGTGACGCCCACTCGGTACCGACTTCGTTTTCGCGTGGACGCCCACCGCCAGAAGCTGTACGGCCACTCGATGATCAGCGTCACGCTGCACAATCGAACCAACGTACTTGAGCTCAACTCGGTGAAGCTCACTATAAATGGCGCCTCTTTCCGGACGAAAAATGTTCGAGGTATGTAAAGGACTTCTTATCAAAAACAGTTTTACAGCATTTTATCAGCCTTATCACTAAACTCAACTTTTTTTTCTGTTTATCATCAGTGGACGCCGGCATGGTCTACTACTGTCCGGAGAAGGAGACGATCGTCCTCTACTTTCCCAAGCCGCTCCACAAAGGTCGCGCCAATCTGACCATTAACTTCTCCGGCAACCTCACTGAAATGTCCCTTTCTGGTTTCTACAAATCCCAAGCCGCCGATCCCTTAAACCAAATTACCACCACCGATTTTGGACCGACCGACGCCCGGCGCCACTTTCCCTGCTTCGACGAGGCCCACTTCCGGGCCGTCTTTGACCTGTACCTGATTGTACCTCGAGGCTATCAGGCGCTTTTCAATGCTCCCAGCAACCGCCGACGCCCCTACTCAGCCGACTCTGAGGAGGTTCGCTTTGAAAGTACCCCGCCCCTGGCGCCCTTTCAGCTGGCCACCGTCGTCGGACCAAAGTTTTCGGTGGCCCGTCTGAACAATGAGACAAACGCGATTTCAAATGAAACCAGCTCCAACAAAGTTTCCATCTCTGTCTACTCACCTCGTAAACCAGTTCAAGAAGAGGAAGAAGAAGAAAAAGAAGAGCAAAACCAAGAAGAGGAGGCGTGGCACTACGCCCTCGACACCACCGAAGAGCTGCTCACCTTCTTCCGGTACTACTTCGACCGGCCCTTTCCCTTGAGCAAACTCGACCTGGTCGCCCTGCCAAACTACGAACAGGCGTCCATTGAGAAGCTCGGTCTGATGATCTTCTCCGACCAGCAACTGCTCATTGCCAATCAGAGTACTGCAAGTGAAGAAGAACTTCAGCTGGTGGCCAGTACGATCAGCCACGCCCTCGCCCACCAGTGGCTCGGCAGCGGGCTGGTCACCTTCCGGCGGTGGACCGACTTTTGGCTCTTCGAGGCGCTGGCCACGCTGATGGAGAAGGACAGTCTGCAGAGTCTCTTTCCGCACTGGCGAGTCTGGGAGCGATTTACCGGAAGTGAACTGAGGCGAGGGCTTCAGGCGGACGCCAGCCGGCTGGCCGTGCCTCTCGACCGGCTGATAAGCCATCCCGGTGACATCCTCTCGGCGGTGGCCTACTCAAAGGAAAATGCCTACTTCAAGGCGGTTTCGTTGTTGCGAATGCTCCGCTCGGCTATTGGAGAAGAGGTAAGAGAGGGGACGGAATTAATAAAAGAACATAATTTTTTATCTTTCTTATCAAAATGTTTTGCTTACTAATTTTCCTGCTCATTTTAGACATTCCAAAAGGGAATTCGCCTGTTTGTGAAGACGTACGCCAACCAGTCGGCCACTGCCGACGACC